GTTTCTCTCTTTACTCCCCATACACAGTACTAACTTAAGCATCGGAGTATTCCCATCAGGCTAATCCCCGGGAATCCTTCCTTTCATCTTCTCAGGTGCCGGTCGTTGCCAGCGAGGAGCCAGTCAGCCGCCAGCTAGGAGTGCCCGGATCACGCCACATCAATGATAAAATGAGATAAAGTAGACTAAGGTCATGTTGGGAGTGCTTATTCGAAATAAGTACTTATTTGGGTGGGGATGACACTATTAAGCACTTATTGGTGTTTGGGAAATAAGCCCGAAATAAGTACTTATTTTAAAAATAAGGGCTTATTTTTTAAGCTCAAGTTTCTACCTTTTTTTAAGTGATCATACAATAAGCACTTATTCAAATTTTTACTCCCAAAATTATCCATTGTAAATTTTTAGAATACCAATTACATCCTTTTACAAAAGCAATTTTACAAAGGCAAGGCACTTTTATAAAAGTACTTTTATGAAATTACTTTTACAAAAGCATTTTTATAAAAGTACTTTTATGAAATTACTTTTACAAAAGCATTTTTATAAAAGTACTTACTTTTATGAAATTACTTTTATAAGAGCACTTTTATAAAAGCATGTTTATGAATGTACTTTTATAAGAGTACTTTTTACAAAAGCACTTTTATAAAAGCACTTTTGCGGAAGTAGTTTTATAAAAGCACTTTTATAAAAATAATTTTATGGAAGCACTTCTATCAAAGTACTTTTATCTGTTCACTTTGGATTGAATGTTTTGAAAATTTAAAAGAAAATGAAGGACAAAAGAGTCGATCACAATTGCTTATTTAAGTGCTTATTGAAAAACAAGGCCACCCAACGTCCAAGATGAAATAAGTGCTTATTCAAATAAGCACTTGTTTTTAAGCACTTATTTTTAACATAAGCACTCCTAAACATGGCCTAAGATGCTTTATATTATTCCGGTGCCAATAATTTAAAAATAAATATGACATCAAACAGAAAGGAAAAATAGGATTCATGTAACTAAATTATATAATTGGTATAAGGCTTGGATAATGATGATGTTGATAGTAGTGAACAAATTAAGGGTGGAGCCACTTAAGAGATACTTATCGCTAGGAGTTTAACTTGAAAAAGCACCACCAACCCTAGTTGCCATTTGGATGGTAAGCCCTAGAAGACCTACCCAACGTATGGATGATGGAATAGAAACATAGAAGATTAAGACTATTCATCATCTAGATGCATGCATAGTGCTCCTCATCCATGCTAGCTTCCATACCACATTATGTTTTCTTTTATCATCAATTGCTCCCAAACTTTTATACTTTGTTTCTTTTCTCAAACAAACAATGATTTGCAAGGTGGTAGAGGTGCATTAGTCTTGATTGTTACATTATATGATTGAATACTCAAGCTCAACTTAATCAGCTGAAAAAAAACTAAAGCAGCGTAAGCTAGTACATGAACCTCCCCTCCTTTCATTGTCATGTCTTCTATCAACCGATAAGTACTCAAAACTTTACTTCCTCAACCTACACATGCCTTTGTCTTCTATCAATTCCAACTTATAACTGCTCAAGAGTAACAAACCATTCTCACCACTTCCAACCTAGGGATGTCAATGGGCCAGTGGTAAATTGCACCGTCCTGATCCTAATGGATTAGAAGTGTGTCAGTCTTAATCGGGTCTCATATCGGGTTCGAATTGAAGCTAGCCCATGCCAATCCCGACCCATTGACATTTTTGTACCAATGAATCATATATAAATATAGCCTTGGTGGACTATAGGTGTAGCAGGTCCAGGTTCAGTATCCTATTTCATCGAGTAAAAACCTATATCAAACCTGACCCATTGGCATACCTACTTCGACCCACATTTTTATTTGGGTTCTGTGTGTGGCCCCCTGTTTGAGCAAATCCATATATGTCCAAAGATTAATCGACCAGGAGGAATTTGATCAATATGGAACAATAAAGCCAGGTAGGTGTTAAGGAATGAGGAAAACAAAAAACAAAAAGAACAATAGTATTTTGGTATAGTTAAATTCAAATTGTAGTAGACACATACCTAAACTATCCCAATTGTAATTATGTTTGAAAGCTAGTGGCAATTTAATACGATGCTTGCAGTTTCCGTGCTCCCGACAACACAATATCCTCTGTCCATAATCCATATCGTATTTATGGAACCAAAGTTTACCCATCCACCAAATTAGTTCAGTTTTCAGTCCTGCGTTCTGCCATCATAGATTTTTTTCCTTTTAAAAAATGAATTTAGCTGTTTTCAACTCTACCAGCCTCATGGATTCAACCATCCAAATTGAATGATTTGACTCATCTTGTCATCTGACCTTATAATAAATTAAAACAAAAAAAGTGTTTTACATTCAACTACAGATGGTAATTAAGAATGCAAATGCAAATATATTTGGTTCGTGAAAATACAAAATTCTAGATTGAAATTTACTTGTTTGAGTCAAATTTTGTTCCCATTTCAAATACAAAAATATCAGAAAACAAATTCTACAAAAACATGTTCCTAATCAAATGCATGCAAAACTGAACGGGAGTACAAATTTGTTTCAGCTCAGAATTTGCACTCTTGTCAAATGCTAGGAAAATAATGAGAAAACAAAGAATTATCTCCATGAAAAATGATCTCTAACAACTAAGCACAAGTTTGCCAGCCGAGTTAGACAGGTAGATATCAGATGTATGTGCAAACGGTCCAATTCACAAATTCAATTTTGAAAACATTGATTTGGAGCCATCTGGCGAGCAATAAATCCAAGGGAAAGTTAATAAGAAATGACGGATTCGAGGCAATGGCCCACACTCTCTCATCCAAAGTACTGGGAGGATCCATMCACCTGTTGTCGGCTGCGTGGGACCCCACCTTCGCTCCGTCATGGGCCTAATGGGCCACATCCGGTTTGAACAATGGTAAGCCACCAAGGCTGGACAGTTAACTGGCTTGCCCTAGTCGAGTGACCGAGTCTGGGGGACACACGCATCCCATTGAACTTGCCACGTTTCACAGGGAATAACATTCCAAACATGATATGTCATATGCCACATCATCTGATAGATGGGCCCTATTTGTAAGGAGCTGACGTGGTGTACGGTGCCTACAAGTAGAATTGTAGAGGATTTGAATGGAGGATGGAGGACAGCACATGTGTCGTGTCTTCAGAGGGTGTTCCCTAACCCTAGGCGACGGTAGAAAGTTCCAATGTTCTGTTACAGACAGTTGTTGAAAAAGAGTCGGAGAGGATCAGAAAATCAGATGGTCGGAACCATCGACGGTGGGTCCCAATTCCCAAATCACAACATCCAACATGCAAGGTGCATAATAACACCAATCTGGCCCCAGCTGGCCAGGCCGCAAGTCCGCAAGACCGCAACTACTCGGTCTTGGTAGCCAAGCCTCCAAACAAGCCACGGATAGCCTACAAGCTGGTTTCTAGACCGTTCTATCATAGCCCACTTGAAATTGTTCTTCTTCATTTGGTAATTTTTCTGCCAGAGGGATGAGGTGACAAGTCTGAATTGTTTCTAAGAGTGTAGGGCCTCCAACATTGGCCATGTGCCCAATGTTGGAATTAGATTGCCACGTGGAAGATTTTGTATCGTCTAGGTCTAGGGAAGCTCCCTGAACGATCCGACTAGCAGACCCGCTCCGATAATGAAATAAATAATTCCAAATTTCCAACAACGGATCTATTCTGATTCCCGACTCCTGAGGGAGGGGAATTCTAAATTCTAATATCCGACTAGGAAGAAGCCTGCAGTGCAGGCTGCAGCGTCCGTTGTCAATTCAGTCATGTCGTCGGGTTAGAGTTCAGATCGCGGATCCTATCCAAAATGTCGAAAAAGTAAAAACGGTTCACATGGACAACTTGTCCAGCAGAGGAGACGAATGGACAGCTGGGCACGTATCTCCAGGAGATTATTGTCATTTCCGACGAAAAGCAAGAAAACGTCAAACACCACCTCTCTCATTTGACACGCACGCCACGCACGAAGAGAGAGACCATGGGGGTATTAMTGTAATTTTAACGAAAGCCAAAGGCTTACAATGAACCGCCAGCCGCCGCTCGGTCCATAAATAAACCAGTAAAATAAATACAGTAATAAATAAAAGGGAACCGAGAAATAATGCTCGTAAACCAACGATCCGTGTGTCCGAATTTAGCAATTCTTCTGATAAGCGAACAGGGGAGGAAGTGAACGTCTGCATCAGTTGCAGTTGCAGTTGCAGTGAAGTCGTTGATGCAGCCATGGATGGTGGTGCTGGTAGCAGGAGGACGGGGAAGTGACTATCGTGTGCACCAGCTCGCATACACTCTCTGCCTTTCTCTTTCCATCTGTTTATTCTGTCTCGCCCTGTCACTGTAGTCTAATCTTCCCCGAACCTGGCCTTCCTCCTTTGTTGAATCCAATCGTTTGAAGTTCTTTGGGGTTCTTCCAGGAGAACTAGATGTAAGAGGGTCCCACCATACCCTCATTTCGAGTCTCTTCCGTTCTTTTTTCCTCGCCTCTTTCGCTTTTTTTCCTTAATTTTTCTTTGAGCAAAAGAAGTGGGTAACAGAGAGAGAAGCTAAAAAGTTGCAAAAACGTGGCTTACGAACTCATTTCATCGCTCTTACGCGGACAAAGCACTTTCTTTCAGTCAGTTTCCTCAACCGATTTTTAATCCTCTTTCGCTATTTCGTGTGTATATAATTATAATCCTCTGTAACGCTTTCTAAACAAGAAGAAAGGAGAGTTTGGCAGCTTATTATTACGTGTTTCCTCCTTTCTCCCTTTTCTTTTGCTCTGCTTTTTTGTTTTAATTCTCTCTTTCGCTCTGAGTAAAAGCATGGAAGCGGTCGCGATGTTGGGAATCGATGTCTTCCTGTGGTTTAACTGAGATCGAGTTTGTATGATGGATGGCGGTTCTTGAGGTGAGAAAAAGATAGAATATTCTTTGCAGTATCTTTTACTACTTTGTCTTCTGTTGGTTGATTTGAATTGTTGGTATCTTTTAAATGCGTCCGAGAGATGGGTTTTCTCTCTTTCTTTCTTTTTTTCTTTTTCTTTGGAACATTTTCCTCAGAAAATTTGAATTCGTAATGGAAGTATGCGATTCTTCTTTTGATTGTTTTATCTATGTGGAAGTATGCGATTCCGTTCTTTTGAATTCGTAATTGCGGGCTTTTTAACATTTTTTCATTGATGATGACAATTCTGGTTAGGAACTAGTTTTTGTTTCATCCAAGTGGGAATTTTATTTTTCCTCTGTTTCACCTCTTTCCCTCTTCAGTGGTTAGTTAAATTCGATTTCCCTGTAAATTGCAGCTCGAAATCTCTGTTTTGTTTGATGGACAGAACTTCGAAATTTCTATAAGTATTTCTTCTTCATAACAGTTCTTTTGGTATCCAAGAAAAACTTTTTTGCTACACCATTACTGTGATTTGATTCTATTTCGTTCCCAGAAAAACCTATTCCCAGAATCTTTGGTTACTCCTCTGTCCTTGCTCGTGTCCTTGATGAGCATAAAGATAAGAAGAAAAAACGATCTCTAGATGTCCTGTTTGTTGRCAGGACAGCATGTGAATATTGTTCAAGCAATCGCTTTTCTTGGTTCTAAATTTCAAATTCTGTTCATGCAAACCGAGCCTTATCACAATGAAAACGTAAGTTCTTAACTTGACAGTAAAAACTAGAACCTCTTATGAAAAGGGGTTGAAAACAAACTTTACATTTTCCCCTTCTGGCTGCAATTCCTTTTGATGTAGAAAAGGTGTAAAACAAATTTTATGGCTTCAGGCCTCTGGTAAACCAGCCTAATCCATTCTCGTCACCAACTTGTACTGAGTACGGACCTTTCTGGCTTTCTCCTTTCCAGTTTCTTTTTGAGGAGACAAATTTCGTTAAGAATCTGAGGCGAAAATTTTTTACTTGTGGATTACTTTGTTTTCACGGTGGATTAGTGCTGAAATTGCATCTTATTTTCCAGTTTAAGGTTTCAGCATATTTACGCCACTTGCATGTGTGTTGTTTGGTTGGATCTCAAGATGGACGAAAGCTCTGTCAGTTCACGGAAAGATGAACAAGGGAAGGAAGACTCTCCATTTAGATATGAAAATGGCATAAAGTCAGCAGAACGAAGTAGTTTGAAGTTCATTGAACCTAGCCATGAATGCTCTCTAGAAAGGGTGAAGCCACAGCAGAAGTTTACATCGGAAGTTAAGCAATCATACTCAGGAGGAAGATGCATTCAGCAATCATTCCTTCAAAGGCGACAAGCTTCTGATTTTAAGATCCTAAAGCAAATACATTCTCAAAGTCTCAACAAAAAACAACTCCAGCATAGCTTGGATTTTGTAGTTAGAGCCTCCGACTATAGTGTAGCCCCATACAATATTTCTGTGAATTTGAGTTCCTCTAAAATGGAGATTTTGTTTGATGGGTCAGAATCGATTAAAAGTAGAAGAAGAAATACAACTGCAATGGATGATTTTGTTATTGAATGCCCATCGCTAGCTGGACAAAGGAATGTAATTATAAGCTCTGTGGGACAGTGGATTGTAGGTGCCATAGAGAACAACAATATGAGGAACATCTTAGAGAATCCATTATCTTATAATTTAGGTGCCCTAGATCATGACACCAACATAAAGAAAGCAGGTTCAATTGGAATTAAGGGAAAGAAATGTCCTAGTTTCATGAGTTCTCCTTCAAGCTTAAGTATTAGTTCATCACAGAACCTTGATAGGGAGACAGAACCTCAAGGAAATCATGGATATAGATCAGAAGCTCATAAGAGGCTTATTTCTGTCTCAAGTTCAAACTCAACATGTTCAGATCAGTCTTCTCCATCTGCTTGTGACACCATTTCTCAGGGAATGCTTCATTGCACATGGAAAAGTGGAGTTCCATATTTTGTGTTCTCAGTAGAGGATCAAAGGGAGGTTTATGTAGCAAACMTGTGGGTTGTTGAATCATCAGATGACAAGTCYCTGGATTATATGTACACATTCCATTCAAGAACGGATGGYCCAAAGGAACAGGTGACTTGTAGTGTGTCAGATCTTGTTGGTAAGATGAAGGTTTCCAGTTCTTTCAGTATTTGCTCGAACAATTCAAAACTCATAGAGACCGAGTTTGTCTTGTTTGGTGCTAATGAAAACCATTTTGGGGAGATGCAAATTTCAACCTCTCCTCGCAAGAGAAACAGCAAGTTTCCAAAGAGGGTTGTTGATGTATTGGGGACAAACCATCCTTCCAGGGACAGATCTTCCACCAAATTCGGTGTGCCAAGCTCCATACTTGAGGATTTTGCTTGGGAGCCATGCCAAGATATGTTCAGCAAGCTTAATGCATCAAGTAGAGCTAACCTGCTACAAAGCCATCTTTTGCCGAATTTTGAGTTGGCTGCCATTGTTGTGAGAGGCTATACCCAAGATGATTGTGAAGAGGCAATGGTCGGAGGTTGGGGCTTGAAATTTCTCAAAAAAAATAGATCTCAGCAGATTAATACTTCGGTAGAAGCATCTGTTTCTTCAGAATGCTGCCCAGATAGTTTCTTGCAAAAGAAAACCAATTGTTCAAGTATGCATGTTCTACTTCCAGCAGGAATTCATGGTGGTCCTAGGACAAGAAATGGTGGCCCTTCTAGTCTTAGTGAGAGATGGAGATCTGGTGGAGACTGCGATTGTGGTGGCTGGGATATAGGCTGCCCTCTCACAGTACTCAATAGCAGAACAAGCATGGAAGAGGTTTCACAAGGAGGTGCACAAGGGGAATGCAAATCATTGAATCTATTTATGCAGGTCTGTCAGTCTTCTATTCTTTTACTTTGGTTTTATATATGACCTTTAAATTACTTGATGGTTTTAATAACAGTTTTAAGCTACAAAAGTCAACAAATTAGCATATACAAAATGTCCTTGTGGATGCTAAGTGTGGACTTTGTAAAATGGAATTGTTCTTTTTAAGAAGTGGGAAGAGCTGAGCTCTGTGCATCCCTCTCATTTTGATCAAAGATGATAAATGAGAGCCTTAGGGATGGGCTATTGCTTGGTGAAAATGGGTTTGCATCTGAGAGAGCCATTTTGTTCCAAAAATACCAGAGGTTAGGTTTATATCTGATCCAACCCTCCCAACACCCTGGATGGCCAGGACCAACACTGGGTAATGGCCCTTATTTTCTCCTTTGATATTCAAATTTCACTATCTCTTTTATCCTGGAAATAGCCAAGTATTTATTAATTTGTGATAGTCAAGTATGCATATCTTTTTGTCCTTTTTACAGTCCACTCCACCTCAGAATTCATAAATTAATTCTCAAAATGTATTTATCCCCACCCCCTATAAATAGCATCCTGCCCGTGAATTTGGAATCTTTCCCCTTCCCCACCTTGACACTGACCCAAACTGACGTTGCATTATGAATTTCGAGGTGGACTGATCTCAAATTACCCCTACCTTTTTTTATGCCAACGTATATTATCTTCTGGTGTTCCATACTCTGTAAGCACAGAACATGCAGCTGACCATGAACTGATCTCTATTTGGCAGGGTACAAAGCAAGGTCCCACAATGAGAATGGTGACTATTCATGATGATCTCTATTGTATTCATTTCCAATCAACTATGTCAGCTCTCCAATCTCTCTCTATAGGAGTGGCAATTATCCATTCTCAGAGTCCCACTCTATGTCCCAAAAATGTACAGAAGTTGAAGCAGCAAGTATCAGGATTGACAATTTCATTTTCATAATCGTTTCTCCTTCTTAGTAACAACATAATACAGCAGTACAGAAGGCCAAAAAAGAGAGGTTATTTGTACACGATTAACATGATTGTTTTTCTTATAATAGTTAGTACTTCTGGTTCCCTTCCCAATCGTGTATTTCATCTCAGTGCTGGATGGTTGAAACAACAGCTTTTACTTGTATTTGATAAAACAATATATATCTGAGATGAAAATTTAAGAAGAGACCACAATGTTTTTAGGTGTAGTAATTTGGTATGCTCCAATAAGACAAGATATAGATTGCAAATCAAATTCAAGATGGATTAATAGGGGTCTCATTTGTTGAGCTGTTGAGATGGGTTTGGTTCTTTTCCTAACTTTAATATCTAGTGTCAGGGTTTGAAGGCAATTCTGTTTGTTTATATATAGTTGAAGGATCTAGAAGAGATAGGAGCAGACAGAAAAGAACTTGGGTAGAAGTAATAAAAATTAATTTTAAGCACCCATAGTTTAACAATGGATGTGGCACTGAACGGAACAGAATGGCAAAAGGATTCGTGTAGCTGATCCCATATTAGTTGGGACAAGGCTTAGATGATGATGATGATGATATCATCTGAAGCTCTTGGTTTAATTAGAGGCTTTATGGTTGTGAATGTTGAAGAATGAGATCATCAACAAGCAAGTCAAGTAAAACGGATACAAAATTTTCAGGTTGAAATATTTGAGTTGTATGTATGTTTCTTTTACTGTGAAAATACTGTTTTCTTTGTCATTTTTCATCAAAACAAGGGGCAGGAAATAAAGTTTTCTTTCTAAAATGTGATAAGAAAATGCAGCCAAAGATAGAAAACATCATCCCCACTGTGAAGGAGGATTAAATTTGTTATATGGCAAGCTATGATCCATGCACTGCTTTCCAGAAAAACTTTGGTCGGTGCTGCTTGAAGTTCCAACAGAATAGGCCATATTGGCCCAGCCAGTGGTTGGCGATTCCCGTGTAAAAGGTACTTGGATCTTGTCATCTTGGGGTAAAAAGCATTTTCTCTTAGTAAAAAAAGGGAGAAATAGATTTCAACAATTGAAGGTTCTGATAATTTGGAAGAATCATCCAGAGGTACAAGACTTTTGGATGAAAAATTTTAACAGTAACATGCATTGGACAATCATTCTATGGCTTTCTGGTTGGTTGATCCGGTTCAGATGGTTGAAAATTGAAATTGCAAGGACAATGATCTTCAAAATATGTGGTTAAAAATCTTTGGATAGGGTCCTCTTCATGTTGCATGTGATCCAATGGTTATAGTACAATTAATGCTGAAATGTATTTAGAATCTTTGTCTCATTTAGGCTAACATACAAACACATTTATGATGGTACCAGGATCACTGGTCTATATGCTACTCTTATAAGAGATCCGTATAAAACACATCTTTTGGTGCATCTTTTATGAGCAGAGACCTGTGAGTTGCACACGTGATGTTATGGCTTGTAGCGGCTGTTTCTGTTTGGTTGGAATGGGGGAAATTCAAATTTTCAAACCAATAATAAAAATAGACTAATCCAACAGAATAATAAGCATTGGACTGACCTGCATTAAGAAGTTTAATCACTTGTAATAGACTAATCCAACAGAATTGAGAAGACAAGTAATGAATAATGTTAATCAATGAGATGTTGCTGATCCAGATTGTTTTGAAACCCTAATAAGTAAATGGTTTTGGTTGAATCCTAAGCTCTACAATGAAAAGAACATTGTGTAGAATTTGGTTTTTGGAAACTTTTCTTTGTGGAAATCCTTATTACCTTTTATGTTTGTGGTACTATTTTATAGGGTGTTCTGTAAATGAATGTTTTTGTTTTCATTTATTTTTGAGTAGCCACATCAGCAAAAAGAAAAACATGTTCTTGAACTCTTTTTTTTGTTTTGAAAGGCAAAAACATGTTTGTTTTGTTTCAAAAAATAATACATGTTTTTAAAACTAATAATATAATGGTTTTTAAAACAAAAATAAATTTTGTAGTGTAAAAGTTATACGACTTGTAAAACATAATATTAAATAATCATATCAAAACATGTTTTTTGTAACCCTTGAAATTCAAAAACATGTTTTTGGTTTCGGTTTTGAAAACAAAACAAAAATAAATACACAACCAAGAAGACCTAATGATGGTGGCTTAGTTGGTGGAATCTCTAACTGGTTGTATTGGAGATTTGGAATCTAATCGTGATGCCTCCTGGGTTTGGAGATGAACTATGAATCTGTGAATTTCCTCATCACAGATTCCTCCTCACCCCTACCTTACAGCACATCCAGCCATGCATTGAAAACATTTCTCCATGAATTAAAACCAGTGATGAGTACTTGTTTGGCGATAAAATACAAAGATTTGAGCAAGCTCTAGAGATGGTGGATTTAGGATTTAAACGAGAAAATAGATAATAAAATGCAAAAGAGGTAAAGCAAGGAGTGCTTGAATTTTCATTATAATCATCGCAGAGTGAGAGATGCAGGTGTGGTTATGTAATTGGGTTAGTAGGAAGAGAGGTGGAAATGGTTTAGCAATCCAAACTCGGTTACTCTTGTCAGTGGTGGAAAACTGGCAATGTGCAGTTTGGATTTGGGTTAAGCTTCAATCCGTCCATTTAACCTGTCAATCCATTAATAACCCACTGAATAGATAAAATCCAACCTAAACGCGTGTTAGCCTAACTCAACTTGAAGAATTTATACTTTATCAGTCATGCGTTTTCGGATGGGCCTTTTAAAATTTTAACAATTTATCTACCCAAGCCCGTCCAAGTTACACACCTAGTCTACTTTTACTTTGTTGCTTATAAGTTTGGTGGTTCCCATAGACATGTCATGTTATAAATTTAATCACCAACAAGAGTAGTACATACCTTACCTAATTAAATGAGAAAGCTTTGGCCGTCTGGGGGAGAACAATTTGGGCTGTTTTAAAACTTCATGTGCATGACACGTGGGGTAAAAGAGTAATTACAAACAATATTCTTTCAATTAGAAAGATAAATAAGAGACTGAGTGGGATAAAGTATAATGTTCAACTGTTCAAGTACACCCCTAAACACCTAAGGCCCTGTTCGCTTTTCGGTAAATTATTTATCCGGGTAAATACACTCACCTAGGTAAGTGTTTTCTAAAAAAGACTTATCTAGGTAAGTGCATTTACCCATGTTCTTTTATTTCCTATGTAATTAAGGCAATGACCATTTTAGCCATAAAATTTAATTATTAAAAGGGGCATTTTTGTCTCATTCAAGTGTTGACAACTTTTCCCCGGGTGGGAAAGTTATTTACCCACCTAGGAGATGGGTATCATTTACCCAGGAAAATAAACTTTCCTTGGTCTCTACATAAATGTGAAAAACGAAAATGGGTTTCTTGGTCAATGGGAACCAAAATCCCATTGACCAACTTTCCCCCTCTCAAAATCCAAAAAAAGAACGCCCCCTAAGGCCCCGTTCGCTTTTTGGTAAGTTACTTACCCAGGTAAATGCAATTACCTGGGTAAGTTTTTCCCATGTTCCTTTATTTCTCAGGTAAATAAGACAATGACCATTTTAGTCATAGAGATCCATTATTAAAAAGGGCGTTTTCATCCCATTCAAGTGTTGGCAACTTTCTCCCTACGTGGGAAAGTTATTTACCCACCTAGGAGATGGGTATCACTTTTCTAGATAAATGATAGCCAAGAAAATAAACTTCCCTTAATCCCCACATAAAGCTGAAAAAAAAAAAAAACATGGGATTCTTGGTCAATGGGAACCAAAATCCCATTGACCAACTTTCCCCCCTCTCCAAATCCAAAAAAAGAATGCCCCCTAAATGTTTTTCAAATTAAACTGATAATATAATTATGACCACACAATTCATGTGCCTCTTTTATTGTAAAATGTAATGTTTATACATCTAGTTTCATTTGTTTTTATTTGGGACCATTACATTCGTATAGGGAGTCATTCCATACATAGTAATAAGTTCATTATTCAGCCTCTTACAATCGAACTGAGCTCTAATTGAGTAATTTGGGCTTGAATTTGAATCTCGATGTAAGTTTGACTAATTATTTGAATCTAAGCTCATCCAATAAAAAGTTGGGCTTAAAAGCTCACAAGTCTTGCTCGATTAACATATGCATACATACATACATACATTATAGAATATAAAAATATATTGTGTAATATATATTTTGAAAATTTATATTTTTATGTAAAATATATTTTTACATTCTATATATAATATAAGAATATACTATATATTATAAAAAATACATCACATATGCATTTATAAAATATAAAAATATGTTCATTTTCAAGTATTGAAGTCAAACTCAAGTTCATCAAATATTTAATCAAATTAAGCTTGAACCAAGAAATAGGGTTTGAATCAAACTCAAACTTAAATTCAAGCTTAATAATATTTTAGTTGAACCAAACCAAAACATGTAGAAGTTCAATTTGACTCAGTATGATTGCACCCTCTACATAACCCATTCAAGAGAAAACATGTCAATCATCCATAAAGATACCAATCGTATAGAAAAGTAGCACATTCACTTTTGAGTGGGTTATGTAGCCCATTTGTACATGCTACATTTGTACTAAATCTGGAGTGCCTCGTATATCCAACAAAATTGGAAGTCTATAAATTGAGATAGTGTAGTTGGTCATTGGGTTGCCACTACCCAACCCATATATTTAAGTTGGCATTTGGTTTGATGGTGTTTTAAGTTGCAATATTTGAACTTAATTATTACATTGAGAAACAAAGAAGAAATTGTCATATTTTGGCATAAAATAACATTGGATGATAGTTTATCATAACGTCAAACACTAAAGTATTATTGCACCACAAAGGGCAATAAGTGAGAATTCCCCCCAAATACAAGATCATCGTTTTTTATGATTCCTTTGATGCTCCCATGCATATAACTCCATGAAAATACGTGGTGTGTCCATTTGTTTTGTTTTCTTTTTTGTACATTAAAACTAAATCATCTATGTAGCATTTGTAGAATCAAAATTTAAATGCAACATCAAGATTCTACACACAACCTAAGGGTAGGGGTGCTCATGGTTCGGTTAACGAAACCATGGGTTTTTTAACCGAACCGATCAAATCGATTTTTTTTTAACTCTGAACCGAATTGATGCAATCAATTAACCGGTCCACCGGTTAACCACGGTTCAGTCTTTTGGTTTTTTTTGCACTCAAAAT